TGGCTGTGCGATTTAAATGTTTGAGGACGAAAGTTGCCGTGTTGTTTACGATTCATTATCGAGCTTTCTGAAATTCATATAGGCTATGTTTAAGCGGAGGTGGTAAACAACCACAGTCGCACAGTTATTATTAGGTCTGAAAAGAAACGGGCTAGTTTTTTGAATGAATGTTTATTTGTGTTTCTTGAAGGGTTTCAACAAAAGGCGATGGATGCGCTCTAGCTCGCGCGGGGGGGGGTTGAAGTAGAAGTCGCCTAATGTCAATGACACTTTCCACGATTAATTTCGTGGAATCGCAAAGGTTGAATAGCATATCAAAAGAGCGGCTCGAGCGCGTATACATACATCATCGAGCACAAAAAAAGCTGTAGTGAATGCCAAGCAGTGAAGTGCCGGGTTTTATTATGTTCAACTACACTGAAGCTGCATTCCGCTTCCATTCCGCCGCTCCAAAATTATACGAGGATGTGTTGTGCGTCTCAAAACCAATATATTCTCACATGTTGCTCATTCTCACTGCCGAGTATGAACAGGCGCGTTTTATTTCCGCGACCAAACGGTGCCTGCGCTATTGCTGTTAATGCCGATCCGATACTTTGCGAACAAAGGACCGGGGGAGAATTTCGTGAGGTGGAGGACGACAGTAAAAGAACGGGTTGACTGTTTACAATAATAACAGGATAGTCGTGACGTCGAGTGATAGACAGCGCTCTCAGCCAGAGGAGAAACTTCTGAGGCATCAACAACATTCTAAATTTGGACAGGGGTTACATCATCGAAGTTAAAGCTGCCGGGGGGCGGGACTTCCGGTTGGATTTGAGTTCGTACCGCTGAAGCGGCTGCTCTTTCTGTTGTGTCTTTGTATCTGTCCGTCGCTGTACAGTCGACTCCCTTTTTTCACTGCCACAAGCAGAGTAATGTTTAACATTTTGACCGCTTGCTCTGCTGGACGCATGAAAATGTTTCGAGGTGCACGTAAATGGCTTGTAACAGCGTGGATGTATCGTGTGGACCAAACTCACCATATTCAAATGATCAAAACGTTACCGTGACCCAAGCCAACTTAAAAGAAGTAATGAACTCATATATTATGACTTAAGCTATCCAAAGAGGGCGTTTGTATTGGTCTGTGCATTATCTCTGGCAAAACGTGTGGTTTTGTGCTGGTGCTCTTCATAAAATCCCATAATGATAGATAGTGGTATGCAGAGGCGGACAAAGTACTCAACTCCATTACTTGAGTAGAAAGTACAGATACTGCTGGTCAAATATTACTCCATTACAAGTAAAAGTTGTAAAGACAGATTTTTACTTAAGTAAAAGTACAGAAGTACTTGCTTTTAAAAGTACTTAAGTACCAAAAGTAAATTTCCTTTTTTATCTCAATGCACTGTTTTATTGTCCGTACATAATACTTGCAATACTTCTGAAGCAACGAAAAAAAAAGTCAAACCTGCTTTAAAACCCAGCAACACAACTGTAGCTGTATAACTTTACAACAGAAACACTGCTTTAACAAAAAAGCAAAACAGCAAGACTTATTTGACATCAAAACAAAAATTATAAAAATGCTCTCTAATCGCTCTCGCAGTACTTTCATGTCATACACAGAACGGTCTGTGCAGTGCTGATTCAAGTCCAACACCTATTGAACACAACTGTAGCTGTATAACTTTACAACAGCAACACTGCTTTAACAAAAAAGCAAAACAGCAAGACTTATTTGACATCAAAACAAACATTTTAAATGCTGTCTAATCGCTCTCGCTGTACTTTGATGTCACACACAGAACAGTCTGTGCAGTGCTGCTTCAAGTCCAACACCTTTTGTGTTTTATTAGGAGATGCACAACAGTTCTTCTGTGGCTTTATAGGTAATATTTTCACTTACACAATTTAGCAAAATCAGACAATATTGTGTGTAATGTATACCACAATATTAACTTCTTATTATTGAATTGTTATAAATAAATATCACATTTGCAGCTGGTCAGTGTTCAAAAAATGCTGGGAAATCATTTCATGTAGCCCTACAAGAGTGATTACTGATAAACTGTCTGAAAAAAAGAAAGAAAATAATCACCCACTGACTTTCAAAGCTGCTACATAGTAACGACTTTCTACTTCGAGGACCTTGATAGAAATGTAGTGGAGTGAAAAGTACAATATTTGTCTTTCAAATGTAGTGAAGTTAAAGTTATAAGTTCCCAGAAAAAATAATACTCAAGTAAAGTACAGATACTCAAAAAGTGTACTTAAGTACAATACTCAAGTAAATGTACGTAGTTACTGTCCGCCTCTGGTGGTATGCCATAAATTAGACAGGGTTGATGATTTTCAAAAAGAAATTGAGTACAACCATCTTAATCTGGTGAAAATGTATACAGCAGTTGATGAAATACCATGTAATGACTTGCTACAAAGTCAAGACAGTTCACTATCACATTAAATTACTACATATAATCATTGAATGAATATCATTCGTATGTCATAATAAATACATGATATTAAATTTACTGAAATTCTATTGCCATTTCACCACATTGTGTGGTATATAAATAGCATACATTTATCTTTTATGATTGGTGCAAAATTTTACAGGCTATAATGCCAGAAACTAAATTTCAGATAAAGTGTGTTTGCGTGAAATTACTTGTTTGCTCTGCTAACAGGTTCTGTGAGGTGATGTCAGATCTTATGAACCTGACCTATTTTAACCTATTTTGTGTTCATACTTTGAGTGATTTCTATATTCTATAAAGCATTTAATTAGAAAGTGCTTTTTTTTTTTTGTAAAGCCATGAGATCAGATACCATTCACTTTAAGATCTCTCCCGCTTTGGGTCACTAATAAATAAAGTTAAACCAAACAAACCACCATGAGTCAGTGGCTGTGTCTTGTTAGGCCGGCCCACTTAACAGGGGTCGAAGGTTGCTGTTGTATTCTCAGACTTGACTTGCAGGCATCTATTGGCTTTTGATGGATGTTGTTACTTAAGTGTGTAGGCTCTGGCCTCTGTAAAAGTGGGGGCTGTCCCCTCACATGCTCCCATCCCCTCCCTCATACTAAAGAGATCACAGGGGTGCAGCTGCTTCAGACAGCTTTGGGGTGGGGTGGGGGTCCGAGACCCTTCAATGAGAGAACAAAACCCTTTCATAAACACACACACTCAAGTTCACCCTTTACAACTGCCCCTATTTTCACACCCCTACAAAAAAAAAAGTTTGAAAAGTGGAAGGTGCAAGAGTGCGCGGGGTGCACAGCACACGTATTTGTCCTTATTAGAACACAGCTAATTACTTAAATGTTACGATCATGAATTCGAATAAACGGAAAGGCATGTTTTCTTTTCTGTATTTTTTCTGCATTATGTGGCTTGACTTGTGACTAATTTCTTTCAAATTTATCAGAAATATCACATATGAATGAGTAAGCCAACAGGTCAAGGGTTTAATGTAATGCAAGAGTCAGAATAATCAGATACTGCATACAACAAAACACAAAATTTATACTTTCCGTGACCCAGCAATTGAAGTCTGCCACAACTTACTTTGCCGACTTTTTTCTTTTACTCTGGTGTCCTCTTCAACGCCATCAAATTGCAAATTGCAAAACAAAACCACACATCTGTTTAAAGAGAAGACAGATATACGCTTCTCACACCAACAGGAAACTCAAATAACAAGTTAAGCAAATTAAAATTCTGTATTTTTTCATTGAGTGTATTGAATGTAATTTGCAGCCCTGCAGTGTGTCTATTTCAAGAGTTGTTTAGGGTGAAATATGAAGGCAGAAAGTTTCATTTGATTCAGCAATTCAAGCCATGAATGGAGAGTGTGTTGAAGTTCTGTTCTGTTCTATGACAAGAGTCCCGAATTCAGAAATGAGTCAGTAATGATGTAGCTTGCTGTATAAAAAAGGGCCTTAAATATATGGCTGCATTTATTGTTGGTATGTTTTCCAAGTGAAAACGCTCTATGTACAGTATAAGGGACTTTAAAATTGTGCATTTGGTTATTCATATACTTCCAAAAGCGTCATGCTTCATGTATTTGACTGTAATTCATGCTGTATTAGCTCAATGTCTTTTAATATAGCTAATTACACAGCCCTGTAATATTTATATGCAATCTAACAATAACAAAGTTGAGGTCCGTGATAAGGTTGATTTTGACGTCTATTATATACAACTGTAAAACGTGGATTGTTAATATATTCAGATCATAAAACAAGCTTTTGTGAAACTTCAGATAGCCTAGGCCTAAAACATCTAAGATTATCAGTAGTTCACATCTATTGGCAGCAAGGTGCCATTGGTGTAATGTATATTCAGTCAGCCTTGATACTGCTGCATATGAATGTTAGTTAGTAATAAATCACCCAAATTACAAGAAATGGGGTAACTCTTGTGCTGGTATCTTCTACGTGTGGATAAGTGGGCAGCATTAAGATTTGGGCTTTCAAGTGTGTCACAAAGCAGTTGCCGAGGAAAAACCAGGTCATATCTCCCTCTCTTTCTGAGCAGAATGGATATTTTACAACACCACTGAGACTGAACTATCAGTTTGCATAGGGCGTATACAGAAGAACACCTTACATAAGTTTCTCTATAGGGAGCTGGCAGGGAATTAGTCGATGAAGTAGCTTAAATGACAAGCATTAGATAGCCAAGGGCTACTTTTTATTTTTCGAGGCTTCTTATGTCCTTATCTGTCCCGATTTGGGTGCTTCCCCTCAATTGGCGGAGGCACACGGGATTCTTCCCCTCTAAACACATGCACGTCTTTAAACGTGCAGTTTCACAGAATAAAAGATTGTTTCGCGTCGCTTTGACGGTGATGAATAAAACAATTTCCTTCCAGTAAAATCACTCTATCTCCCACCTTCAAAACCGCTCTCCAAGTCCATGTTCCCGGCATGCACATGCGAGCTGGGGGCGGCTCCTACCGATTTGAATGAGGAGAGTCACTTTAGGCGCCATTTTCGAGTGAGCTGCGATAACATCAACACTGAGCTCGCGAGCGTAGAGAGACAGCGCGCGCGACGCTTCGTCTTAAAAAAAATAACACTTATTATCTGAATGCGGGGAAAACGGCAGGATCGGACCGCGTTTAGAGAGTAAAATCGCCTGCGATCTAGTGTCGACGAGCACAGTACGAGCCGATTGTGGAGCCGAAGGAGAAAAGGGGGCTATCGCTCAGCTGCGCATGTAGAAAACCTGCGATTTTAAAAAAATAATATATAAAAATAACACTCGATGCGAGGAAAAATATTGAAAAATTCTGGAAAATACCAGAGGGTTTTAAGATTGGGATTCTGCGCGGCGGTGGTGAAGATTGTGTCATTTTGGGTTTTTTTCACGTCGCTTTTTGAGCGGGAGTAACGGACGAGCCGCTGGCGCAGATACACGCAGTTCAGTCCGAGTGTGTGATGCAGCAGACTCTGAACTCAGATTATAGAGGAGACATCAGCCTTTTTAGCCGGTAAGCTGTATGAAACTGTTTATTAATCGAGTTTGACATAAAAAGGTGACTTTGATTGTAATTAGTTTTTTTTAGAAGACCACGTTGTCGTGAAACTGTCTTGAAGCGTATTGTTTTTTAGGGTAAATACTTTGCGCCATTTTATAAGTCCAAGCACGGAAGCCTATGTTGATTTAAAAAAAAGTTATTTGTTATTTTTTTATTATTATTGTGACCTGACGCTGTCATAATGTAACGCTCTTGATTGAGACGTCACAATATAATATGTTACAACTAGATTGAATGGACAACTGTGGTGTTTATGTGACTTATAAAAATTGACACGATGAGGTAGAGTCTTGTGCTGACTTGCGTTACTACTTGGATATTAAAAAAACCGTCAAGTGTCATTGTGTAAAGTTGGAATAATAGTAAAATGTAGCGTTTTTTTGTGCATCTAGAGCTGGGAGGGCACATTTGGTCTGCTGGAGAAAGGGAGATCATTCTAGCTTTTCTTGGAAATGTGAATTGGAGTTCAGCAATTATGGTTGCAAGCAGGGCAGTTTCACCTTGTAATGCAATTTGGTGAATTTACGCACGAGTTTTGCTTATATTATTCACAAAATAAAGAAAACTTTATTCTGTCCTGACCTTCAATAAATATCTGTATTTTTAAGTCAATTACTTGCTACATTTATTATTAGTTTTCAACAGCACCACTTACATTTTTTTTCAGCTCCTCTGATGAGTGTCAGGCCGTGTTTCCATTTTTAAAACAATAAGTGACTTTTTTTGTGTGCGGTTTTTGTACTCAACTGGATGGAAAAGTAAGCCTTGAACTACTGTGGGGGTGGAATTGAAAATGCAGGCCTGTTGAGAAAAAGCCTGTCAGTTGCAGAATTGCTGAGGTGTGTTTTTCTCCTCACATTCAGTCTGTGTGTGTATTGGGTGTCTCATGGAGGGCGTGCCGCACCTGGAGATTCAGATGAGCCAAAATTATGCTCTTGACTTTTTTTCCTGCATGGTTTATAATATTGATAATTATTGATACAGTTATGGCATAGGCAAACAAGTCATTATACTAACAAATTTAACCTAAAGTATACAAGAGATAATTCTTTTGAATACATTTTTTAAGTCACACAGGCCTTTACCAAAAACGCTATTGGCTGGCATTATTGTTCCACAGCTTGCTTTCTGTAGCTGTTTTTAACCAAACAGCTATAGACACTTTTGTCAAAAGTGTAATGATATAGTGAAAATTGTCCACACGCACTGTAACTATTTTTGAGGCCAAGTGTGACTTTAATCAGAGTCAGAGTTGATATTTCTTTGGTTATCGCTCTACTTTGTGTCAGAAGGACAATATTGTTGCCTTGAATGACTTTCGAGTGGATTTTTCTTCACTCACTGCAATGTGTTGCAATTTACATTAATTATTGAAAAGCATTAATATTTCTGAAAAGTTTTAAAAAGAAACTTTGATCATTTAAGCAGTTAGCTATCATTTTTTATGTAAAGCAGTATTAATATTTCAATGTTTTAATGTAGGCTCAGTCATTCCACTGTGCAGTGTTAAGTGCTCGATCACCTATCACAAACATATTTTTTTGGGGGAAAAAAAGGCCTAAATAAAAATAGTGGGCAGAAATCATTAGAATTCCTTATATCTGTTAGTATCTGCACATAATTATATAATTATGATTACTATGTCAAAACGTTATAATTATAGTATGTTTTTGCAGTGGATTTATTGTAAAACCAGTAATAGTTACTAATTAAAGTTGGCTGCTTATGTATTCAACTCACTGTACACACTGTACACTGCATTCACTCAAAACGTTAATTATTAAAAATGAACCTAAAAATGAGAGTTGAACATAATCTTCTAATATAAAGTGATAGTAATATTTTAACATTGTAATGCGGCTTCCAGTCAGCTAGAAAAAGAATATCAGGAATGTATAAAACAGATATTGTCATGGCGACATGCCTCAGTTACTGCTTGTCCAGCCACAACAACAACAACTATTCTTTCACAACTGAATACTGAGCCTGTATGAATCCACCCAGTCTCTTCATTCACATCTTAGACAAACAGATAAATACGAGTAATTATTTATGATTAAAAACAAACTATAACTTACACATTTTGCACAGATATTTCATTGTCACATTTGTAGCTTGTCGTGTGAGGATTAAAAATGTTTTTTCGCCTGTGTGTGTGCGTGAGTGTATTTATAATTTCATGTCAGTGTGTAATTGTGGTCATGAGGTGATCCCTCAGTGGTCTGTTGTGAACGAGCGGAGGCTGGACATTATGACAATGACCCACTTAGACAACTTTACATTGAGTTTGTCTTTAGGTTAGGACTAAAGGTCACAGCATTATACAGGGCTTGTGTTTCTTTGATGGGATCCACTCAAGATGTTGGCTGATGTGAGTTAAAGTACGATGGATAATGACAAAAGCATGCCAACAAGGCCTAAATGAATGCACATTCTCAGACAGCCACTCAATTTGAAATAGTAATGTGTTTAGTTTTATTTTTACAAGCGGAACAGAGTTTGGGACAGTCTCATATTTAATTAGATAATTTACAGACATTAGATAATACGGTATTCAATAATTAGAGGTGATTTCTCAAAAGAAAAAGAAAAAAACATTCCACACAATCTCTTTAGCAGCTTTGAAATCCTGATTTTAATTTTAATTTTGCAGTCACTAGTAGAAAAATTCCTCAAGGCCAAAAATTGTATTTGATATTATTATAAGTCATTTTATTAAGAGCTAGTTGTTACATTTTATTAACAGCGTTATATTTTGTAAAACACTCATCAGCCCTTTCAAGGTCCAGCTGCATTATTTTCACCCAGTTGCAACAAATTTGCTACAAAGAAGAAATTCTCCAAATTTTGCTCTAACCTTTGATCTTAGTGAGCGTTAGCTTGTTCTCGTGTCTCTGTGACCGTGACATATTAGTCACAATCATGATAGTTCATAATGACTTGTACTAGCTCATTATGATGTGTATTGCAAGTGTCTTTTTCACAATTATAACACAATTGTAACCTCTTGGCCCAAATCCAAATAGAAACCCTCAAATATGTATATTTTATAATTGTAGGGTGTGTCATGTACATCAAAGACCACTGATTCTTTTGGTCCCTGTCATATGCCCAGTGTTTAATGCCATTTTTGCCTTATGTTAATGATGATGTTGTAATATTGCATTTGACTCAGACCCCATACCACACACACTATATGAAAAACGCTGTAGGTGCAGGGTCTGTGAATTATTTTTATGATTTTTCTCTAATCATTATTTGTTCCTCTTAATTTGGATGCTTTGAAAAAAATAATATATATATATATATAAATAAAAATGTGGAACAGCTTTGTCTACTGGCTTCCACTCAAATGGAGGTAAATATTTCCCTTAGTTTTTTTTTAAACCTTAGCTATAAAATTAAACCCTATGTTCTACGCCTCAAATATAATTTAGTATACTGTATAAGAAAAAAAATACATGAATTGAGGTGCTATCACCAGTTATATTATTCATGTTGATTCTGATTCTGAGCTGGTTTTTGTGGAGTTTCACATTGTGTAATACTTTGGTTTTTAAGTGCCATATTGACTTCAAAGGAATCACATTTTCATAGTTTTTAGTAGCAGCAGCTCCTGTAGATAATATAACAGGCCTGTACTGTTCTAGCTCATTTTTATATCAGTGTCTCTGCTTTAAACATAATTGTAAACATTGTATAGTGACTCTTTGAAGTAAATGCGATAGCAGAACTTGTCCCAAAAATGAGTGTGAGGTTTCTGTTGTGTTCCCCCCCCCCTCTTTGTGTTAGCTCATTTCAGCGTGGCTCTTGCCACAAAGTTAAAGAAGGGCCTCTAGGATTCAAAGAAGTTGGTTGATGTAGTTTCAAGTAGTAGCTTGAAGAGAAAATAAGAAGAGTCACTTGGCTGTGTTATTATCATGAAACCTGAATGTCAGTAACATTTGGGGCGGGGGCTTTTGATTTCATAACTTCACTTGCTAGTAAACCGATCGGTATGAAACATGATTTTCAGGCCAAACTTAGGCCTCAGTTTTGCGCGCGCGCGCGTGTGTGTATTTTTGTTTGCCCAGCAAGATCAGAGGACTCGATTCTTGGTGGGTGTGTATCTGTGTGTGTCCTTTTGTAAATGATCATTTAGATGCGAAACACATAAATGAAAATCTTGATCCGAGTGTCAATTACAAAGCTATCTGCTAGGAGGAACACAGCGCCAGTCGAGCTCTCTGATGCCAAACAGCAGAGCTCTTCATTGTAAGCTCTTCTTAGTACTACATGTGCTGCCAGGGGCTGCCCCTATCTGACGTTACCAAGGCAAATGCACTTGTTATGGGGACTGGCGCTGTTGTCAAGGTATTAGGCCCGTGCAGCCCCCCTTCCTCGCAGTTAAAGTGCTTGATGTGTTTTTGCGATGTGTTCATACAATATGAAATAACTTGTATATTGCGTTTGTACTGTGATGTTTCATGTACAAAGGCAATATATTAATCTGAAGCATGTAAGCACACTTTTTAAAGAAATACAAATGAACCTAATAAAAAAATACAGTGGTGCCAATTAAGACTGACCAAATAATAAAATAGTAACGTCTTATAAATTGTGGAATAAAAATATTTAGTTCATAAATATAGCATCCCCGTTTTGATATCTACAGTGTAGCTCTCCAAGTTTCCAGTTCTTTGTTTTAAAATGTATTAACAAATATATTTTTTGTTTACAGTGTTTATATGTAATTATGAATTATTTTGCATTGAATATTAGATTTTCTAGTATATCAAGTCTAGATGTTTTCAAGAGTACACCAATTTTGCACAAAGATCAAAAATAGTTGTTGATAGTGTGTAGAGTGGGATTAAAAATGTCAGATTTGTTTCCTTCAGTTCCAGCATTGTTTTATTTTGTCCCATTGGGCAGATCTTGTGTGTATAAATGTGCTTTTACACACACTTGTGTGCTCTCGTGCCCCCTTTGCTTGTTACTCTTATAAAAGCAAGTGAAATTAAGGGAGCAGCTTCCCCTTTCTGTGGTAGGAAGTGAATGTTTCTCTGCTAACTTCTGGCATACGAAGTTACAGGGAACAACACATCTAGCTGCAATCTTGTAAAAATACACTAATCAGACTAACCCCTTCACATCACCAGAGTGTGTCAATTTGGTTAGCAAATAAACTATTTTGTTTGAGTATGCTTTATTTTGTTTTATTTAGGTACACATGTACACTGCGGTGTTACATTCAATGTATATAACTTGCATATATAAATAACTTAATTATTCTGATGGGCTTTTATGTTGTTGAATTCATCGTCCCATCTAGGTTTTATTATCATAATATTCAGTCACTGTGAGTCAGTAAATACTAAGACACTACTTTTAATGAAAATCATCACTGGGTTTTTTTGCCTTTATGAATTTGCTATTAGCATAGTACTCAATAGTAAGTTACAATTTCAAAAATGAATAATGATTTTACAATTATTTTGTTGGTGTAAATTAATTTTTAGTTTGATGTTGCTGGGTAATTAGGCTGAAATGATCACTCATCTTTTTTTTTGTAACATTGTTATCCCGTAAAAATGAGTTTATTCAAAGTGTGCCCTTAAAGTTAAGTGTTAGTACTACTACTTAGAATTACATTTATATTGTGGGCATTATTAAAACTTACTTTGTGTTTTGTTTGTCCTTTGGTTTTATTTTATTTTATTTTTTTGTCTTCTGTATGGACAAGTGTGTTGTTGTTTTTAACTACTTAATATAATACTTTTTTACATTTAAAAGTAATTAAACTTTATATTTTTTAATATCACACATTTTGTAATTTTTAGAAAACACCTCTTCATAGGTTTGGTACAGTGGTACTATTTGTTGGGGATGGGCTTCATTTTCCACACACACACACACACACACACACAGAGAGAGAGACAGACACAAACCATGACACAAGGATTAATCTTCAAACAAGATTATGCCGTATTCATTTAAATATTTCACATAATGTACAACCACAAGATAAATTACACCTGTCCACAAAAAAAAAAAAAACACTGCATGCTATATGGATGGTATACGTTTGTTTTTGTACCTGTAATTATATGTTAAGAAACATAACAGCCAGAATTTGTGCTTCATAAATATCCCTTTATTTTTGTTTTCTCCAGGAAAGGAATGTAGAGCACACGGCATGACACTGAGCTGTGACACAGTCAAGTAACTGTAAGTACGCCACTGGTTGAACCATTTTAACTATACTGGTTATAAGAAGCATGGTTTAGTTGAATTATTTTCTGAAATGCATAAAATACCGGGAGTATATAGAAGAAGAAAACAAGTCCTATATCCTCATGAAGTGCCTAACAAAGAGAAAACAAGAAAGTGAAAGGCATACAGACAAAGCAAACAACACAAGTAAATATTATAATGTGGGAGGTTACAGGCTTTTGTCAGGGAGCGCTATTTTTTTTTTTTCTCCCAGAAGTCCATGGGGCTCTTTTCATAACCTGTAATTGTACCCTTATAGACAGCAGATGCTTCACTGTACACCAAAAGTTTATTGTTAGTATTGGATCACCTGGTACAATAGCACATGTGCGTTTACTGAATGGAACAGATACCTGGGGGTTTACAAAAACAACTAACATCAGAAATAGAACATGATAAATATTGAAAGTTAGTCATGCGTGAAATTGTTATTATTAGCCCGTTATTTTGCACTTTGCACACTTCATGTAAATTCACTCCCGCATAAGAGTCATTTCAAAGATAGTTTTGGGCTCAACCGTATGCAAGCTTCAGCTTACTCATATGGTTCTTTAAAAATTCACGTCTTGACTGATTTGAATTACCTATATGAATCTACTTGCAAATCTTATATTGAATATGAAAATAGTTTTAGAAAAATACAATTCAATTAGACAGCTTGCATAAATACACTATACACTATCAGTTCGTATGTTTTAACAGTTGCTGGTTTTCTGAAGTTATCTGCTTTTGTCAAATCTCTCTAAATGAAGGTTTGGATACAGTGAACTTTTTAATCACAGTGCACACTTACCTGGTAATGGTGATTTCATCAGTGAGAGGCAGGCAGGTTGTGTAAGAACGGTGTGAATATCATGTTTTTCTCAGAACAGGTACCAAATTACCACAACTGACCAGAGAGTTAAGAGTATGCAAATAGATTTTGAGCACTGTGTACTTCTCCAGAAAAAGCCACTGTAGAATAGAAATGTGCTGTTAAAAATAGAAGACAGTTAAAAAAAAAAGCTATAGTTAAATAGTGTAAGGAGCAGCAATGTAACATTTATATAACATTTCTAAAAAGAAACATTTTATATCTTTAAAAACAGAGATGCTCACTTAATCTTTGCATTTGTCAACTTTGCTTTTCATGATGTAACAGACTTTTAAAAATGGAAAACAATGCATTTGACCTTGAAACTAGATATTGGCAGCTGCCAGTTTTTTTTCTGGTTCCCATTTAAAACAAAAACTAAAGAATTATCTTTACTGGACTCCTAAAGTAGATACACTTTTCTAGAATAGATCTAGAGTAGAAACACTTTCACTTGTTTTCATACATGATTATGTTAGTGATCCATGCATGTCCTGCTGCATTTGCATAGCAAAACCAAACGGTGAGAAATAAGTTCACAAAGCCTCAGGAAGTCTCACGTTTTAATCAGAACTGCCGCTTGGTATTTTATCTTTATTCTTGATTTTAGATTCTAATGTCCTGAGCAAGCCTTTTTATTTTTTGTCCTCGAAGTCAGTTTGACACCATTTCATTAAAGCAGGTAGTCATACTGACACTAATTACTCATTGTCTTTTTATTGATCCTGTGTTTTCAGGTTGCGAGACGCGGAGCGTGTCTGTGCGGCGGTGTGGGCGCTCGTGCGCTCGGCGCGGGGCCTGTCGGTACTGTAGCAGCACAGAATGGTTTGTGAGTTATAACGGGGGTGCAGGCCGTACTGTGCTGCGGCAAGAACGACAGGACATACGCGCACGTCACATTCAAACGAGTGAAAAGGCAGCAGCAAGACTACGTGTGCCGGCGAGTCTCCTGAACTTGGCCGTGTGACTGACTGGCTGCCTGGCTGTAGCAGCACGTAAATATTGGAGTCAAAGCACTAGCGAATCCTCCAATATTGACCGTGCTGCTGGAGTTAGGCGGGCCGTTTACCGTCTGCGGCGGCCTGTGTGCTTCGGGATCACTCATCAGGAAAACACAAGAAGATTAACGACTGACTAATAACATACTGTGCACATGCCGGTGTTCTGAACGCTTTTATTCTGAGAACGGATGACATGGAATTTGATAAAACTTCAAATAAGCTGTGTATAATTATGTAATTTCAGTTTAAATGAGTCAGATGCTTCTCTAAAAGTGCTTGGATCTCGTTGATACAATTTATGTACATGGAAAAATGCAATAAAGGAAAATACAATTTAAAAACATTAAAATCACAACGATTGCATCAAGGAAAATTAATTGTGTAGAGTCGCGTTGCGCGCGAATTCTGCAGTTGGTCAAATACATAAATCTGCCACATTTCTCACACCAAGTTCTAATAAGAATATTTAGACTATAATGTGCAGTTCCTGTTGCCTATTATGGACGAAGCACATCGTTATAAAAACAGAAAACCGTTATAAAATGTGTCGTATTACAGTGTTAAGCATCATCACATCACCTTCCATCTTTATTTTCACATTTTGAATTACGCAGCATCGCCATCTTCTGGGAAACTTTAAATGGTTTGACGTTTTCAGCTCGCCTCTCGTTTCTTTTAAGTTAAGATTTAGGGGAGGGGTTCTGACAGAATCACTTCGTAGATCGGCCCCTTTTGGTACTTTGCGCTGTTTGTTTTGATCCTCGCGTTTCTTTCCCTCTGCAAAGGTCGTTAATATCAAGTCTACACTCCCTCTCAGTTGAAACGCTCGGGTTTCTCCTCCAAGTTTTCAGCTCGCCTCTCGTTTCTTTTAAGTTAAGATTTAGGGGAGGGGTTCTGACAGAATCACTTCGTAGATCGGCCCCTTTTGGTACTTTGCGCTGTTTGTTTTGATCCTCGCGTTTCTTTCCCTCTGCAAAGGTCGTTAATATCAAGTCTATTTACACTCCCTCTCAGTTGAAACGCTCGGGTTTCTCCTCCAGCGATACTGAGGAAACCATCCTTCAAAATCGTGTCCACCATCAGGACAAGATTAAGAAAAGCTTGCGTTCGTCTGGATCAATTGTACAAAAATCAGTCAAATAAGCAAATGAAAGATGAACATGCGATATAAAAATGCGAATCTATATAAAACTTTAAGGGTACTTCAAACCGAAACACTAAGTTGACCCTGTTGCCTCAATCAAGGGATACGAATGACCAAAAATCACAGGGACTAACCTAAATTTTTGCTCAAATTTAATGGACTTGGTTTAGAAGTGACTGAACTCCAATATCTAGCCACACGAAGATGCGCTTGTTTGAATGTACCTGAACCTTAATTGAAATGACAGAACTCAAGGACGGACATAAAGGCGACGAGTCGTATTTTGGGTCGTTCAGTACAAGCAGATGTTCTTGCCTTTAAAATAATTTATTAAAAGAAACCCTGATTATCATGGACGACGGGACCTCACATGTATGATGGCAGTTGTTCCTAATCCCAAAAAAGGAACATGACAGTAAATGTGGTTGAACGAAGCCTCAGAATATCTTGAAAAAATACATGTCTGTGTGCAACTGACCATCAACTAATTTTAATTTGAGCATTCACTCAATATCCACTTGACACTTTCACAGTGAATATCTGTCCGTAGAAAGTTAAAACTCGGACTACACGTAATAATTACTAAAAATGCTCAAAAAAGAGCACTGATTGTCCTTAATGGTTATTGGTTGTATTAAAGATGCATAATATATAAAAAAAAAACACTATTTAGATTCTCAGTGGTAGGATGCCATACAACTGATTTCGTTCGTAAAAATCAACGGAGGTGTACAAGGAAAAAAGTTATTGGTGTGGAGCTATGCACTTTAAACCTTACTGTTCTAGGTAAAACATACACAAAACGTAAATCTATAAAATCATTTTATTTTGATTGGTCACTTACGATTATGTAACAGAAACTTTTTTTGAATATCGAGAAACTGGTGTGAATAGGTTTGGTGCCACTGGTATTACTGGATTTGTTGTCTTCCACAGAATCTGACTAAATGGATTCGTTTTAACTATAGTCGAAATGAGGTGCCCTAACTTGACACATTATGAGTCCTTTGATGTCATATCCACCTCTATTGTACATTGTATTACGTAATAAAAAGCAGGTACGTATGAAATCAATGATATTGTCGAACGACATGCATGACAGACATATTAGCGAACCGATAAAAACGAGAGAAAATAGGGCAGAAACCACGTCACTTTCTTTTGCTCTTACGTCACTCCCTTCTCATGTCACTGAGGTTATTCTTTCCCTAGGCTGAACTACAGCTTAAATACTGTACTTATGAAATCGCACTGAACACTTTCTGAAGCGGAAATTCATAGTGCACCCAAAAGGGCTGCATAACTTTTTTTTTCTTTCCTTCTGAATAAGCTATTCTTGGCAGGTAAGGCGAGATCATACCCGGTAATTTCCACAGAAACATCATTTGGCGTGTCACAGCTGAGCAACGCGCAGGTTCACGGTGAAATCTGATTGGGCAGTTCTGAAAATAACGGTTTTGTTATCATTCAAAAGGCTCAAGGCAAGCAGATAAGTGCGCTCATGATTATCATCTCATCGCTGTTTCTAAACTTGTTTATGACATACTGCGAAAGCAAACAGACCTCGCTATAACATCACTTCATTTGTCATCACCTGCATCTCAAAATCACATGGCGAACCCGGCAAAGTTAGTATAAGTCTGTACCCTATTCAAAAAGTAGTAAGTTAAAACGCTCTCTCGCCATTACAAGATAGCGACTATGTATGAATTATTAAACTAGCTTAAGCTAAATCAGAAAACATTTTTAAAAAGGTTGACATGAAGACCATGATGAAACACTGTGCCTACTTTACCTTCTTTTGGTCCATTTACCTCGACATCTGCTTACTAGGACAAGAAGGTGATGTCAGTCAAAATAAATCTTTTTTACAATAACGCAGTAATCCTATGAAAAGTAGGGATGTTGGGTAAAACATTTCCACCGCATAACTGCGAACACATCACGCGCTCTTTTATTGGATAGAAACCGCGCGCGCCAGTTACTAGGGCACTCAGAAAACGTAATCATGGCGCTTGTTGCTGTGCAGATTTCAACACTAGCGAACTTCAAAAACAACAAGCAAACGTTAATATCGAAGTTACGTATTACAAGTAACAAACAGGCGTCTTGAAGAATGTTTATTTTAATTTGCCTTTGATATGAGGGCAAGAAAATATATGAACAGAAGTAAAGCTGTATCTTCGTTTTTGAAAGTAGTTGGTCAGATATAGATCCCCCCTTACTTTGAGCGGTGAGGTTGTTGCTATGCAAAACTTCGCAGCTGTAACTGAGTGACACAGAGCAGGTTAAAAGCTTTTAAGGTCACATCGATCCTGATCCCTCAGATTTGCGCTGTCTCGCTCACGATCGCGCACACATATTTAAATTTGTACACATAATGCCATAAAGTTAGATCCAGTAGTCTATCATATCAAACTTTCTTCCTGTTACCTGTACGGTCTGACAGTTGACAAATTGCTGTTGTCTCCCAAAGACAACAAGGCCAAAATTACCTGCCGATTAAGTGACATTATGGTGTGGTAATTCATTTGTCAGTCTTGTGAATTTAAAGGGATAGTTCACCCTGAAATTAAAATCCTATCATCATTTACTCACCCTGGTGTCGTTCCAAGCTGAATGAGTTTATTTCCTCTGCTGAACACATGAGAAGATATTTTGAAGAATGTTGGTATCCAAAAAGTTGACTTCCAGAGTATTTTACCCCCATACTATGGAAGTCAATGGCTACGTCAACTTTTTGGTTACACACATTATTCAAAATATATTCTTTTGTGTTCAACAGCTGAAATAAATTCATAGGGGTTTGGAACAACTTGAGGGTGAGTAAATGATGACAGAATTTTAATTTTTGGATGAACTTCTTCTTTAAGTTTACCATTAAGGAATAATACGTGATAATTTATTCATTCTTATTCCAAACTCGTATGACTTTCTTCTAAGTTACACAACAGTAAGTCACAGCCTTGTTACCATTCACTTTAGTGTGAAAAAGATGCAATGAAAGTGAATGGTGTGTGATGCTTGTCAGCCCCTAACATTCTGCATTGTGTTCCACGGAAGAAAGTAAGTCATCATTTTGTCACATAGGTTTGTCACAATATGAGGGCGAGTAAAAGACAGTATTTTCATTTTTGGACGTTATCCCCTTAATAGCAGTCCGTCTTTTGGTCACTAGAGGTCGCCATTGAGCTATCCTGGAAATAATATGGGGGGAACTGAGAGAAAAAAACCTTCACGTTATATATCCTGTTAGCTTAGCATGTAGAGAGAATAAAAATGACCTCCGATGATTTGTAGCACAGATAGCATCGTATAACAACTAAATAGAACGTAACCACATTATTTAATATTAAGGTTATTATTGTGAAAGGAATACCGTTATGGCATCTTTGGTTTCATGTTGTTTTGGCTGTTGTGGAGACAATAACAGGGGCCACGTAACACTGAAGGAAATGCCCACGGTTCAGCTGGACACTCATCACATGGGTAAGTGTTGCGATCTGACATTTCAGACACATTATATTCACGGAAAAGAGTTTGAGTCTGACGATATGATAAACAAAGCTGTCCTTCTTCAAAAATAAGTGCCTTTGTCGCCATACAGTAAGTGTTATGATCATTTCACTGCTGTCAGACTTGGTTTAACAAGTGTATTTACAGTTATTTGAGTTTGTCATCTGTAATGACTTGTATATAATTCAATGGTATGAGGGAAGGTGGCTTACTAAACGATAGTAAAATGACACAAAATGTATAGCATGTAGGATTAACGAAAACGAAGAGCATAATTTCAGAACGTCATGAAGCAGAAAAAAAGGTAGTAAAATATTTTGGTCTCTGTTATGCAGTTAATTAAGTATGTGGTAAATGGATTATTTCCCTATGATATTTCAGGTACTGATGTTGTCATTGTAAAGAGTGGAAGACGCATATGTGGAACTGGTGGTTGCATTGCAAACGCCCCTCTCCATCAAAACAAGAGCTACTTTGAGTTCAAGATTCAGTCCACAGGTAAGACGTGACGTGTGCAAGCATTTACGTGTAAGTTAGACAAATTAGTCTACAGTTTGTTTTAGTCATTAGGTGTGACTGCTGTGAACTTTGGCCTCTGCAGGTGTCTGGGGAGTAGGAGTGGCAACACGGAAAGCAAATCTGAATCAGATCCCTATGGGTAGAGACCCACGCAGCCTTGTGCTCCGGCAAGATGGCGCCGTGTACCACAACAATGAAGAAAAGAACCGATTACCTGCAAACAGCTTACCGCAGGAAGGAGACATTGTGGTGAGTCTTGGTGGCATTGGATTAATGTGGGATTTGTTGGTAAATAAATCTACTTGTGTGTGTGCTTGGTAAAGGGAGAAGCATTCCATTTTGGACTGAGAGGATTCCATGTGGGATTTGCTGCCTTTAATAACAAGGGTTCTTAACTGTATTATTGCAGACTCATTAAATACTGGAGTTTCGTTGTGAACTTCATTTTGGTGTACCACCTGACTGTAACTGCATACTGAGTTTACTGGGTTATCTGTAAGATGGAAACCTCTTAGCACTAATATGTATGCTGACAGGAGCTATGAGAGTTTTCTTGAAAGCAGTGGTTCATTTTCAGTTTAATAGCTTCATGTAAGTTTCTGTTTTCGCTCTTTTTTTTGTGTGTGTGTGCGTGTGTGTGTAGGGTGTTACGTATGACCATGTGGAGCTGAATTTGTACCTAAATGGGAAGAATATGAACTGTCCAGCATCAGGCATTAGAGGAACTGTTTATCCTGTAGTTTATGGTAAGTATTTTGGAGTATTATTAAAAGATTTTTAAAGCAGCACTATGTAACTTTTGGCGCTCTAGCGGTTAATAAACAGTTAATAAACAGTTAATAAACATTCCAACCGGAGCTACTTCTCTAAGTTTATGTCTATGGCGATTCACGCAGGTATGTGTTACTCCGCAGCGGTGACGACCCGACCAGGTTACAATAGTCCAAATATAAGTACTTATTATAAGTGTACCGTAGTGATTCGGAATAAGACAAAAATGAAAGATGAATTCATGATGTACTCGCTCATTATATACATTTTGCAAATTTTGAACAGAAAAAGTTACATAGTGCTGCTTTAATAACTATTACTAACCACTAACATCTTTGGTTGCCAGTGCAGTTGAGACGATAATTGCTCTGTTACTTATAAAGTCTTCAAACAGACAACATTATTTTCTTAAATGATTTCACAAATTGAGTTGCCTAAGAATGACCTAAAAATAAGTATTTTGATACTTTTTTTCAGAATTCTTGCATTACTAAATAGAATTTATTGTTAAATAACACATCTGAGCTTGTATGCCTTCGTCTTGTCCCTCACAGTTGACGATAGTGCAATATTGGATTGCCAGTTCAGTGACTTCTACCATCCTCCACCGCAAGGCTACCAGAAGATTCTGTTTGAGCAACAGATCTTCTAAAGTTCATGGTGTGCTGTATATACACTAAAGAAATGTACTCCACAGCCAGGAATTGAAGTGCTATGGTTATGACTGAACTTGACGATTGTGTGGCTTAGCCTGCTGAAAGGAGTTGAAATAATGTCATCTGTGATTTTGACTCGTGTAAAACTGACACATATCTGACCATTTCTACTCAGTTTAAAAAGTCATCCTATGTCTTTCAGATGAACTCTGTTATATCATCTGCGCATTAATGAGCTGTGCACTGATCTCAAAAGGTTTATTTAGAACATACATCTTTAATTTACACTTCATCAAACACTGTACAGTATTAACAGTGTGCTGTTGTGAGCGTATGGATTTTTGTTTAAAAGCTGATTTGAAGACAAAAAAGGGTAATAATGGAGTCACATATTACAGCCGACAATCATGACTTTATTCTTTATGCATTTCAAGAAAACAAAGTGATGCTGACCTGAAAAGCTGATACTGATTGAAAATACTGTCGAAGCTCTTTTTGATTTCGTTGTCGTCTGTCTGATGTATGACCTGCAGCTGCACACACCATATACATCATGATGACTTGGATTTATACAAGCTCTACAAAAATACATATATTTAAATTTCATGGAGTTTATATTTGGTTGTATTTTCCATATTATATTGCTGTTTATGTACATTGTTTTATTGTAGTTTAGTGTAACTAATATATTAAACGTGAGAGATACAATAGAATAAGTGTAAAGGTTATTTAACCTTAAATATTTAATAATTTGACCCGAAAAACATCTGATTGTCTGTGTTCTCTAATTATAAATTATTGCAAATGATCACAAAACTGTTTTTAATAAATTGAGTATTGCATAGCCTATATGATGTTATTTTTGTATGTTCTAATCTGACAGGTCTTGTGTCTTTAGTAATACATATTTTGGTTTTGTCATTTGTTTGATAAAGACTTTGTATGTACCTTATCATAATTTAAGACTTAAACATGTTCCTGTTGTTATTAAAATGTGAATTTCTACTTAAAGGGATAGTTCACCCCAAAATGAAAATTCTTGTTAAATGTGAGCCAAAATCATCACAATTAAAAGAACCAAAGACTTAAACTACTTCAGTCTGTGTGCATTGAATTTATTTAATACACAAGTTTCACAATTTGAGTTGAATTACTGAAATAAATGAACTTTTCCACGACATTCTAATTTATTGAGATGTGACATCAAACAATCCATGTGACATCAGTGGCTCAACTTCAGTTTTGTGAAGCTATGAGAATACTTTTTGAGCACAAAGAAAACAAAAATAATTTATTTAACAATTCTTCTCCCCCGAGTTATGTCTTCCGCCATTTTGGAGAGTACCCAAGAGCGTAATCGACGTAATCAGCGTTGTTTACGTTCGAGGGATAAAGCGCACGCATGAACGTAATGTGCGTTGTTTATGCTTGGGGAAAGCGTGTGTATGCATTGTGATACTCTCTAAAATGGCGGAAGACGTAACTCGGGGGAGAAGAATTGTTGAATAAATGGTTATTTTTGTTTTCTTAACCCTGACATCAGGGTTAGTTCACCCCAAAATGAAAATTCTGTCATTAATTACTCGCCCTCATGTCGTTCCAAACCCGTAAGACCTTCGTTCATCTTCGGAACACAAATTAAGATATTTTTGATGAAATCTGAGAACTCTCTGACACTGCATAGACAGTAACGCAACTGAAATGTTCCCAGGCCCAGAAACGTAGGTAGTACATAGGTTCAACAGTCCATGTGACATCAGTGGTTCAACTTTGCAAAGCTACGAGAATACTTTTTGTGCGTTATGAAAACAAAAATAATTTATTCAACAATTCTTCTCCCCCAGTTACCACCATCTGCCATTTTGGAGAGTACCACGACTCATACGCGGGCTTTCTCCTGAATGTAAAGGACACTGATTGCATTGATTACGTTCTGGGGAAAGCGCGAGCGTGGTACTCAAGCTCTCAAAAAATCTCTTAATTTGTGCTCCGAAGATGAACGAAGGTCTTATGGGTTTGGTACTCTCCAAAATGGCAGATGGTGGTAACTGGGGGAGAAGAATTGTTGAATAAATCATTTTTGTTTTCATAACGCACAAAAAGTATTCTCCTAGCTTTGCAAAGTTGAACCACTGATGTCACATGGACTGTTGAACCTATGTACTACCTACGTTTCTGGGCCTGGGAACATTTCAGTTGCGTTACTGTAATGAATGAATGACATGATGGGGAGTAATTAATGACAGAATTTTTATTTTTGGGTGAACTAACCTTTTAAAGAACTCTTAAGATTTTCTGCCATCGTTTAATAGGGTGATTATATTCTTCACCATAATATATGTAGGCATCACAGAACTAACTGTCAAACGTACAAATATTCAAGGCACAGCATGAAAATATATCAACAGAAACATTTGCAATAGAACTTTTCAGTCATGACGTCGATTTGTAGGTCAACGCAGAATTCTAATTCCAGACATGGAATCCTATAGGAATTTCATATGGTTAAAATGTTCAATTTTAAGATTAAATATGACATTTTGTTCTTCAATCTAAATTGCTTTTTAAAATCAGCTTTCTAAAAAGTTTGGAAAAAGCTCATCCCTCATGCACGTAAACTCGTGGTAATTGTAGTCCTTATGTAGCACGTTGGGTGACTGGTGTGGCCTGGTTCTGATTTAGCGCCAACCTCTGTAAGCTCACTTGAGAAACAACTTTGAAAACGGCACTTATTAGAAAGAGCGAAAAAGAGACTTTTGAATAGAAAAAGGTAAATTAAATGCCACAACAGGGACAAGAAGTAAAGGTAACGGGTAAAAGAGAAGAGACACCAAAGCATCAGAAGGTCAATCATAAGAGAGCAATAAAAAGGATGGCTAACAGCAAGTTTATTTTGGTTAGGTTCATTGATACATAAAGCACGTCCTGAGGGAGTGATGAGTGAAAGATGTGTTGCCATAGAAAGGTGGAGGTGGGGAGGGGAAGTGGATAGGTTGAGAATTGTGGGTAGTTGTGATCCATATGAAAAGAATGAGAAGGGAGCAAAATGGAAGTTAAGGAGATCAATTACAAGTCAGCCAGCAGACTAAAGGAGAATTTAATAAGAATTATACTCTACTCCAGAGAATGTGTCATGGTAAAGTCCAGAGATAGGCAGACATAACACCCAAAAGACCCCATTTTATAAGCAGCTCCAATGCAACGTGGTAGACATGAACCTTTTTTTAGTTGCTTTCAAATGAAAAACAAAAGGCACAATTAATTTCAACTCATTCTTTATCTTTAATATGCACAAGAGTTGAAAAAAAAAATACTGATGAGCCACCTTAAAGAGAAATTCAGTTCTAAAATTTATAAAAACATACAAACAATCAGAGGCCAAAATGTGATCTGTCGCTTTTTAGATAAATTTTTTTTTCTTTAGCAAGTAAAAATCTTGCAACAAGCAATAAGCTTGTATCCATTTCTGATACAAGACAAAACTTCTTTAAAGTGGCTCGTTTTCTAGTTGTCTAGATAAGTTCATGAATTTCAAACCTGTTTTTTCTTTTTGTTCAACAATAATGGCTAATTCAAAAATGATCAGGGCTGCCTTTAGCTTCCTTACTGTCTTTTTCAGCAGTTTGCGGCCCAAACATAACTACTTTAGTTCAAATGCAATTTTTTCCCCCATACATCCCTTTACAAGTTAATGCACAGGGGGAAAAAAAGAAAAAAAACAAAACATCCAGTCACAACAGTAAGAAAGCCCATTTTCCAAATAATGGCAATGATTTGCCATTACAAAATGAAAGTTAAACCAAAAATGAACAAAAAAAAAAAATTACCCCTATTGGCTGCAAATCAATAATCACAACGTTATTATTGTTCTGTAGCGTGCGTCCCAACAACGTCTAGTGGACCTAAGTGTGGTAGCTTTGCATTATATACCTAAACAAGAAATATACTTTTATTTTAGTTGGTACAATTAGGTTTTGTAGCAAGTGAAATAAGATTAAAAACCAACTAAACAAAAAACGAACCACAATGTCATGGATCTCCTTTCCCCATTGCTTGTATAGTCAAAATTAAGCGAACATCGCTCTCCGCTTACATTAAGCAATAAAGCGAGAAAACCAAAAGTGTGCGCGTAAGACTGGAAAAACTGCAAAAGCTCCGCTGATCAAAACAAAAAAAGAATTCACAATCCAATCACTGTTGCAAAGTTTCTTGTGGTTTTGACTACCAAGTGAAGAAATGCACTGATTTAGTGAAAATATCCTCCAAACGGTTACAACTGGGCTCATCCCGATGAACTTATTACTATGCTTACAGACAGGAAGTAGAGCAGATGAATCCAGAAAATAAAAAGCGCTGCCAGAGCACCCTTGTTAAGCAGAAAGACCTGTTAAGGTTATCTCAAAGAACTTCCAAAGGCTGGGGCGGCCCTTTAAAAGTCCTGGCTAAATTGACAAATCATATAGGATCCTCCTTTGACATGTCCGACAGTCCTACTGCAAACCAAAAAAAAAAAAATCGGCACAATGAATGTCCACTACACTATCGCTGCAGAACTTCGAAAATGAGGGCGCTTGAATGCCTTAAATGAAATTTTCTCCATTCAAGTTTGTGATCTTCTGACGTGATTTTTTTTCTTCTTCATTATCTTCAGTGTTTTGTAAATATCCATAATTTCAGGATGAAGAAAAAGCAAAAATTGGTGGCGATAATTTAAGTTCTGTTTGCACACCACATATTTAGAGACACTCCCTTCCCACATTTGAATAATATTCCATGGAATAACCCATTATAGGCTAGTTCACAGATTTCGGATGAATGAGGGAGGGGGTCCAAATGGCTTAACACAGTCAAGGCTGGACGTATTGAGTTGGGTGTCTGGCTGAGACTCTAAGATCATTACCAGAAATGCAACATTTCGAGGGAAGGGATTTCTTGGAAACAAAAGAAAATCCCTGCCTTTATATTTCAGGAATAACTCTTTCTTTCTTCTTCCTTGGCTGATATGATGGCTGGTACAACAACAGAAGTTCCTATTATTGTTCATGCTCACCTATGTGTGTGAGTGAGTGAAACAGCAAAATATATATCCTTTTTTTGTTGTTTTTTTGTTATGTTTTTTGGCAACTGCAGTATAATGAGTCTTGTTCTTTTTTTTCTTCCATGTCTTGAGGTTGTCGAGATCCATCCATATTTTGAGTGGCGTTGAGACTCAGATCCTTCAGTGCTAGTTTCTTCTGAGTGAGTGTCATTTCTGAGCATGGTGATTGATTGGTTTTTCTGGTTAGTGAGTGGTTGGGTAGATGATGGGTCAATAGGTGGCAGGGGTTGAGGAGCAGCTGGGAAACCCACCATTCCTAAGTTCGAAGCTCCGGTTGTCTAGAACTTGAACTCCTTGGTTTGTAGGTTGGAGGATGGATCAAAGTTAAATGTGCCTCCCTGGGTGGCCTCAGGAATCAGGCTGGGGTCCTCATCAATCTAGAAACAGAACCAGACATTACTAACATGATATCTACTCATAATTCAAATCTAGACAGAACCACCAACAAATGGGGCTTTCACACCATGTAGTTATAGGAACTAGCCAGCATGGTGGTTCCTAGAGAACCAATTTCCCCCTTGGGCCATTTTCCTGGTTGCATTCGCACTGACAGCAGGAACTCTGAATTTACAACTCTCATTTACAAACGTCAACAACCGGTAAATGGAGAATGCCATGATCGGAATGTTGTGTGTCGTGGGTTTCGTGATAACGGAGATGGAATGTAAGCACACAATTTACACTTGAAAGAGCACAAAAATCTGACTAAATTTCCTATGACAACTTGCAGTGTGACAAATCATTGAGGCTAGTAGTTCCTATAGTAGTACTGTTTAAAGTCCCCCTGTAGTCAAATATTTTATCCCTTAAAACTTATCTTTGATCATCAAAATGACATTTAAATGTTTTTTCTTGTGAAAATAATTTTCTCATGCCTTAAAATAGCTTGAATGTAACTCTTCACCCGT